AACTATACCTGTTGGAGCTTAACATTGTTATTCCACCATCCATCCATTGGATGTTTCAGAGCAACACAACTGCTCGGATAAGGAATTTCTCAAGAAATGCAAAATATTTCATCCATTCTCATAGAATCATGGTTCACATCAGAAGGAACTTTTGGAGATGATCTGGTTGCAGGTCCTTCTCAGAGAAGGGCCACTGTAAGGCAAGTCGCTCAGCGCCCTGCCTGAACACCTCCAGTAATGAGGATCCTTCCACCCCTGCCTGCTCTCTACTCTCTCTTGGCAGTTGCAGGCTGCAATACAGATCCCATTTACCTGTCTCTTTCCAAAGATGAGCAAGCTCAGCTTGCTCAGCATTCCTTTGTACATCGTGTGCTCCACACCCATTATCTTGGTGGCCTTCCACTGGACTCACTCCAGGATGCCCACACCTTCCTTATCTCACAGAGCCCAAAGCTGAGCACAACAATCCCAAGGCAAGCTCCCAAGCACTGAACTTAGGGAAATACTTGCTTTTCTTGACCTACTGGCTATACACAAGTGTTATTATGCCCCTGTGATGGAACACGGGGGGTTTCAGGTGAACTCCAGTTCCAATTACTGGATGCACCACCATTGGCTCCTTTCCAGATCCTTTCCTGAAAATTTGCTGCAAAGTTGCTTAGAAAGAAACGAGCTTGTCCCCATCTGAAGTGTTACACAGGCTTATTGTTCCCAGATGCTGGGTTCTGCATTTGCTAAGCTTTATGATGTTCCCATCAACCCATTTCTCCTGTAAATCAAGGCCCATCTGAACATAATTTTTGATATACAACTTCTGGCTACTTGCTCTTATCATTATTTCCAAATTCAAAGACATTTATTTGAAAAGCAAAAATAACATGCTTTCTTAAAAATTTTCAGCAAGAGAAGCACAGACTTTCATTAAATTGCTTATTGCAAGGCTCCAGACAAAATATCCTGGTACCTTATAGATTTCCCATTGTTCTAAGTGACAAGAGCTAAAATAAAAGTAATAGAACTAAAAAAAATAAAATAAAATAAAGCATTCCTGAGATGACTGGTTTTTTTCATCTGGCTCACTGGAAGCTACTTGATTACAGTCAACTTGAACAGCAGGTTGGAACCAGATAACTTCCAGAAGTCTCCTCCAACCTAAAGTGTTCTGCAACACATTTGCCATACAACTTTCTGATTTGAAATCTACCCAAGGGGTTATGAGGTACCTTCTTTCTGAAACAGCATAAAAACCTGATAAGCCTTCCCAGAATTGCCATGCTGACTGCCAAAGGCAGTATTACAAATTAAGCACTGAGCTCCAAAAGGTTTATTTTTAAGCCCTGTTTAGTGGTGCCTACTCTAAATTCAGGCAGATGCACCTGAGCAGTGTACCACGGGTCACCCCAGAACTCAGCTCTCTGTCTGAAGACACATAGCATCCTCCCTCCACCAAATTTCTACTCTTCCTTTTCCCCACCTAACCCCCTCCACCTTCTTTCTCCTACAGGACCCACGCATTCACTCCAAAGATCAAGATCACTCCTGAAAACAGCTGCTTGTGTAAGCAAGCCATTCAGGTTAATGTCTGTGTTTTTGCAGGTCACCAACCAAAACACTGAATACCAAAGACTTAATAAACAAAAGAACCAAGCACACTGTAGGCCTGTAGGAATTACACTGAAAGCAAATTAGATCAAGAAGTTAGACTGGTTTTTCTAGACTACTACGGTCAGCATATGATCTTGAACTTTTTTCAGGGTATGTGCCTTAAACACACTGTTAACTTCTGTGCCTATTTTGTATAGAATTTAGAGCTCTGATCAGCTGTTTCACATCCAATAGCATTAAGAAAAACAGATTTTTAAATGTATTTTCCAGTACTGGTCTCACAGCCTTCCACACAGTGAAATCACATATCAGCTGCAGCCAGACTGGAATGGATTACCTGAGAAATAGTTCAGACATTTCTCCTCAGCTGAGAACTGCACTTAGATGCAATTAAGATGTTGTAACACAATCTTTGACAGTTGCCAAGTCCATTTCCATTCCATCATCACAATTCCAAAATGGCAAGGAATGCACGTGCACAATAAATAGCAGCACGCTGTTCCTAAGAATTCACACAGTAAGAAAGGTTTATACTTGCAAGTCATTTGCCATAAAAACACTTCCTGACCCAAAAAAAAATGGAAACTCACTGGTATATTAAAATACCAATCACAAGAAAGTTACATGATTTAAATTACTGGTAATAAAAATCCATGTGAAAACACAATAAAACCTGACACAGGTAACTTAACAGCTTTAGCTGGGACTGGTAGTGGAAGTAGAAGCCCCTAGTGTTTTGAATTCCATAATTAAGATTTACAAAGCACTTTTAACACTCAAATATTTCAGAGGAAAAAAAATAATAAGTCACAGAGCATACAATTTGAGGTCTTGTTGTAAAGATGTGCCCTTCAGCTACAATCTCCTAAGTAGGGAAGCCTGCTGATGTAAGCTGAGGTAGTTTCTACCAAACGAGATGAAGACAACAGCCTCGTTTCTGTATAATTATTTTTACTATACATTTAAGCAAACGTACCATCAACATTGATTTACATTTTTGAGAAAGACATTTATTGAATAAAAAACCCCGTTACATTCAGCCTTATGAATGATTACACGCAAAGCAAGTCAAAACAGGTGATGACTGAGTAGCCTAACTGGCTGAACATTACCAGAACTTAGATTACTTATGAACACTTATTTCCCAACTGTACAATAATAAAATGCAAAAATATGCTTCTTCTTGCCATTAATACTGTAGTCAAAGGGATTCCTTGCTTTTGGCATTAATGGCAGCCCACACTTCAGCATCTGTTGTTAGTTGGCATGTTAAGTGCAGGACTTTCCACATGAGCTACAATGTATTTGGAAAACAGAAACCAAAACAGCAGAAACAGATATGCAAAGAGTTCACTTTGATCCCAAAAGCCGTGGGTCAAAGTTCAAGACTGCAGACTTAGGAGTACCAGCACACACGTTGAGGCACAGTGGCTGAGGTTCAGAAGAGAGCTCCCATACAATCGTGCAGTAAAGCCCAAGTCAGAGACCCCACTGGGGGCTTCCAAAGCTATCACACCTCCTAACTGTACATCATGGATATCCACTTCTGAGACGTCAGGCCATCAAGTCCAAACACTAAAAGACTTCTTTTTTTTTTTTTGCAACGTGAGATTTGAAAAAAGTTTCCTACAGTCTTTACAGGGACTTTATTTATAAAGTCAAGCCATTGAAACAAACGTATCTGTAGTCTTTGTACAAAATTAAACACTGAAAAGCTTAAGTATAAAACTACAGTTTCATTTCTGTACAAGATGGGAAAAACATTGTAAAACCTCAACTCATTTGTAGTTTAATCAGACTTCTGCATCTCTTTCCATCACAGCCTCACTGCTGAACACTGACATTTCATGTCATAAATCCTCTAAGATAAGATTAAAAACTGATTTGCACAAAAGAAATCAAAAATAACTTTATATACACAACAGAAAGCCTTTTAAGAGTACAAAAATAACATCTATATGCCAATTAGTTACCATGCTTTGTCAATTCCAAGTGCCTAAACATGCAAGACAGTAATGACAATCTAGAATAATTCTGCATCTGTAGAATGTTTCAGACTATGAAAGACATTAACATGCCATTAACTCCTGTTCTTTTTTAAAATGGATATATATTCAATTTTTTTTTTTTTAAACCAATAATGCAGTATTCAAGTCTCTGCATGTATGTCCACAGATAAACAGCTTTCATCTTGATTTTTAAGTCTTCTGCAAGCTAGTAATGCAGACTAAAAAGCTGTGATGGTTCCAATCAATCTAATTATTCAAAGCAATCCAAGATGTACAAAAGCTATAAAAAAGGGAACACTTATCACCATGCACAAAACTTAAGAATGTTCAACTAAAACATGCATCAAATGCATGTTTTGTTGGGTTCTTTTTTTTTTTTTTGCTTTAAAAAAAGATACACGACACGATTTACATTAACACTCTTAGCATCAGATCAGCAGAATCAGTTCTGACTAAATACCACAAGGGTAAGACACATTCCTTTTGCTGGTGCCTATCATATCTTCAAATCCACGGAAACAAAATCAGGAATCTTCAACTTCCCAGTCAAATCAGATCATGAAATCAACTGAAATGAGAAGTGCATTAGTTTTCTCCTTTCTCAACTTCTACCTACAATGTACACACTGCCTCTCCTCTAGCATCAAGAAAATGCACTCAACTTTTTGCTGGCAGGAAAGGCCAAGAACATCCCTCCAGCAGATAGATTGCTCTTATGCCTTTGCTGATAACACAGCACGTAGATGTAGCTATTTTCTAGACAGTCACGTATCATTTCAACACCTGCAAATGAACCTACAAGAAAAAAAAACCTCATAGGCAGCTTCCTAACTGTGTTATCAGTGAAAAGGGGCAAATATAGAGAAAAGCTCTTTTCATCCAATTTCCTTCTCTCATTTGTAGAGCTTTCCAGTCTACGAAGCTTACACCACCTTTGTTTTGTTATCAGTGGTCAGTGCACGATTTACAAAGCAACTCGCAGCCAAAGCTGCAATTGGAAGAACATACAGCCTTCAGAGTCATCAAAAACTAGGAGAGCTCTAATTTTAGTTCTGCTTACTAAAGAAACTCAAAGTAGTAATGACATGCTAAGAAAAAAAAAGTCTGGACCAGTTATTTTAGGAAGAGGAATACAGGAAAAAAAACCCCCAGCAACCACAAAACAAACAACAGCAACAAAAACCAAGAACCAACAAAACCACTCAACACACCCCACATAAGGGGAGCCAAAAAAGAAGGGCAAAAAAAAGCCAGTATTCACATTTATCAAAACAATGAGGTTTGGGATGCTTCCAACACTACACAGGAGGCTATTACAACTGGTGTAAAACTATGTCATGCCAATTCCTATTAGACTTGGAAAAATGTTTCTGAACAATTCTTTACCTCTTTGACTGTTTCTTTAATGAAGTCTTTCCTGTCAGATAAGTCATAACTGGGATAATTCTCATACACCTAGAAAAAAAGAATTGAAAGTACAACCTTGAGTTACTTCCACTCAGTGTACTTTATGAATAGAAGCTTAAATAAAAAGAGAGCAGAAAGCAGTGCTGTACTTTTAGCATTACAAAACTGGCAGAACTCCCTCTGTTAATTATGGAAAGTTACTTTTATTTCCCTGTCCTTATTTTGACCATGAAATCTACATCAAGTTATTTTTTATGTTTGGTCACTGACTAAAATGTTACTGGCAACACACCAACAAATTGGAATGCCTAACCTGCCATGTCAAGCAAACCCAGAATTCTCCAATGTTTGTCCTATACATTTGCTAAGCAGACAAATACCTTCTTAAAAAAAAAATATATCTAAATGCCTACTTATTTTTTTGTAATGAGTGGAATTGTCATCTTTCAAGTTACCAACATAAGCATCAATATATTTAAGTGCAATTCTACAATTACTCTCTGGTTAACCATCATGAATGAGAAGTGAAAGGATATCAAACTAATTAAACAACAACCACCACCACCACAGCAAATGCCAATACTGACAATGAATGCAGCTCACCACATTTCAGACTTATCCTAGTGTAAGAAGTGACCAGGTAGCAGTGCTGTCTGTGTGGTGGTCACTTTTCCCTTTCCCACCCACACTCCTCCTTGGCTCCTGTCCTGCAGCTCAACGGCTTCTTTGCTCACTTTATACAACTCATTAACTCAGCTGAAAACTATGCACTTATTCTGCGTTGACAGCACCAAACAGACTCAAAGGATACGAAAAGAGCAAGAGCAAGGCAAGCAGAAATGTGCACAGAGCAGCACAGTCCTTCCCTTTTGACAGCAAAAATCTGCTGTGCTGGTTCAACAGCTCTAATATTTGCACCTTAACACACAGCACTTGCTTTGAAGGTAACAACACTACTTTCCATGTAGCTATTTTTGATTTAGATTTTCATTCCCCTGTGGAACATACAGCATTGCATACCTTAAGATTAAGCCCTCCTATTAGTAGCTGTTAGTAAATAAATCAAACCATTTTGTTTCGTTGTGTAGACTGTAAGCCACAGCTTACAAAACAAGATTAAAAGTCAACTTACAGACAGCTCACTGTCCCCCAAAAAACTGCTAAATCACCTGCTTACCTCCTTGCAGATTTGTTTCATTGTGACTTCCTCCAAATTTGCATTGGCCAACAATTTCTTGACAGTTTCCTTAATTTCTTCATCCGTGGGTGGTTTCTTCAGCTTTTTAATTAAAGGTTCATTATCTGAACTATCCTCCGATTCGCTTTCTAAATATGAAGAGTAACTCAGATTGTAATAAAACATTTTCAACTTGCTTTCATTCTTTTTCCAAAACAAAAGCTATCAGAACATTTGATGCAATGCTCACCCTTAAAATGGGTATCTTGCCAGTCCATCATTTTATAAATAAACCTAATGCTGTCAGTATTGCACTTACTTATCTATCTGCATTACTGTTTGTTAACTACCAGTTTACAAATCAATACATACTCTAGAAAGTATGGATCTGTTTACATTCATCTATCAAACAAAAACAAAAAGCAAACCAACAACATTTATGACAAAAATTCAATACTGAGACATTTCTGCCCTAAAACAACACTTATTTGCTTTGAAAAGGAGTTCAGATTCCTTTTCCCAATGGTGCTGCTCATTAGAGTCTCATCATTTTGCAGTGCTGTAATACCAAACATGCCATCAGAAACACCATTCCAAAAAGAAACAAAAAAAAACAAAAAACACCCCAAAAAGCAAGGAGAATCATAAAGGAAGTTAAGTGAAAAGGCACAGGACAGTCCTATAATCTCTTCCAGCACAAAACACCAAGACTGAGTGACTCCAGCACACTGCTATTGGCATCCTGTCTGAGAATAGAGGCACTAAGTCCAGATAAAGAGTTTGCAGAATGACCCACTTCACATTTCAAGTTTTGTACTGTGGACGTAGACTCAAAACAGAAATGCAACAGGAATAAATAGGAAACTAAGCCCAGACTATCTAACACACACATACACAAAGCACACACCTAACATCACACACACACTGTGGTGGTAAAATGAAGTGTACATGCACACAGTCAATCACATTGGTGCCATCAGCAAACTGAAAAATATTAAGTTCAGCACAGGCTGCCTAACAGCTGAGAAACAAGGCTGGGAAAGAAGCTGAGCATGATTTTTTATCTGAGAGTTGTTGTTTTCTCAACTCTCTGACAAACCAGTAGTTAGTTTGAACTGATTTCTCTGTGAGAGCACACATATGCTGGTGCTGGCATTAAATCAACTGTGCTTGTAGTACACGGATATATGCTGCATTAGTAATGCTGCCACTGGGATGGCTTTTTAACTCCAAGAGGGTCAGAGAATTGAAGGCTATAAAAAACCTCTGGAGATCATTTGGCTGAAGCTCTTCCTCAGAACAGGGCCACAGCTGAGTGGGCTGCCCTACGCTGCCTATACATGCATTTGTCAGATATAAGGAAAACAAGAGCAACAGGACGCACGTGGAACACGTATCTGTGTTGTGAATATCAAGCTGCTGAATAGGAGACAGAATGTTGGATATATACTATATACCCATCAATTGTAAGATTGAAGTTTAATAGAACTTCATGATGCTCTTACAACAGAAGACAAAACCAGGCTGATACCTTAGATGTACAGACAAAAATGTATATAAAAATTATATAAATATAATTTATATAATTATATAAAAATATACCCAAATCAATTTTTTTCTTTAAATTACCAGTGTGAGGAAAGAAACTTCAAATCCATAACTCAGCAAACTCCATTTTCCTTCACAATTAGGTAAAGAAGCCTGTTTTCTAATAAGTATCTCTGTTAAGCTACAAGATGATGCATGATAAAAGATCCAAAGCCGTTTACCTTTCCTAGAACTGTTCTGATTCTTTTTAGTAGTGCTGCTATCCGCCTTCTTGACATTAGCACCCTTCACAGTTTTCTTGGGTTTGGAAGTCACCTTTTTAGATCTTTCTCTTTTAGATGCTCTTCTAGGGGGCTGTAAAGAAGAAAATGGAGGATTAGAACAGTGGTTCCTACTGAACAACCCATACTCCTCTTAAGCAATGGAAATCATCCCTTCTGTCAGCACGAACTGTATCAACAACATTAATACATTTTACTAGCTATATCTACTTCTAAACCATGAGGTGAAAACATTCACATTCTCAGGAATTTCACGTTGCTCCTCTATATACTCAAACTGGCACCTTCTGATTGTGTTTGTAATCTAGCTGTACTGTGCCCCTCCATTTGCAGTTAGTTATCATAGAACGGTTTGGGTTCGAGGGAACCCTAAAAACCACCTGGTTTTGGACCCCTGCCACGGGCAGATGCCTTCCACTAGATCAGGTTGCTCAAAGCTATGGTTGCTTATAATTAGCTGAAAAATTTCAGAACACAACATGCCATGCCTTTAAATCATTTCTAGATGCTGTACTTCACTAGGACTACACACAGCAAGTTCTTTTAGTACAGCTGAGATATATCAGCTGGCCCATAATTTGGCTGAATATTGCAGCCAGCAAACTCAAAGAAAACTGCACTAAGTTACCACCAATAGAGAAAAGTGGGAAAAGTTCATACAACTTGTAACTACTTGTTCCATTGGTATCTGGTACAACCCCTGAAACGAGCACTCCGTAGAACAGAATGTATTTCTTTATGCTGGATTGCTCACTTACAGTTGCTATTATAGCTATACAACTAAAAAGCAGTGTTGTTAAGTGAGACCTCTGCTGCTTCACATTAATTCATACTGTGTGTATACATGCATGGCATTGTTATCACAAACTAAATGTGTGCTTAACACAGGCTTTAATACAGAACTTCTAACAAGGCTCAAAACTGCCCTCACAGAAAGTTTTGACGAGGATAAGACCAGACTTCAGAGAAAGAACACCAGGAAACAAAACAACTAACAGTAATTACTAAATTCATCATTCCAATTTCAATTTTAAATGGCAGCATAGTCACCTGAGCTATCACTATTACACAGTGACATCTAAATAAGTTCATACAACTTGTAACTACTCGTTCCATTGGCATCTGGTACAACCCTGAAACTAGCACTCCGTAGAACAGAATGTATTTCTTTCTGCTGGATTGCTCACTTACAGTTGCTATTATAGCTATACAACTAAAAAGCAGTGTTGTTAAGTGAGACCTCTGCTGCTTAACATCAGAAAATATACTCAGGAATCACCCTAAGTCTAACTAAACTTGCAATTAGTTTTTAAGTTCCTGATAAAGCTCCATCACTAGCGACAGAATCAGAGGTTACAACCAGCAGACGTATTTAAGCTTCAAAAAAATTATGTTCCTTCAGCATACAGAAGTATTCCAGATATCTTTCCTTCTGGGTACATAAGATCAAAAACCAAAGCAATAGAATACTGTTGCAGTCAAGAGAAGCTCATCACTACTTTAGCCTGAGATTCCAAAAGAGCAGGGGAAACACAGCCTGTAGTTTGTTAAACGTTATATAATCCTAGCCTTTTTTTTTCTTTCCTTCTTTATGGTATAACCTTATAGCTCTGCAAAGGTAGACATTTTCCACTTCACCATTTCCTATATTCAAACTAATTTGGCATACGAGCGCTTGCATGATAATTACACTTTTATTCCATGCAAGTCAGTTTCAACTTCCAAAGTCTTCAGTGCACACCAGGTTATTGCCTGGAGGTCATCAAATCCTCCTGCCTTTTGAAAGAAGGCAAAGATGACTCCGTTAGATCAACAGGGTCTACCATTTTTTCTTAAATAGCTGAATTCTTAAGAAAGTTTCTAAAAGCAGATTCCTGCCCCTGAAAGCCATGTTTCCTTCCCTCACAGCAGGAAGACTGTACTGTTGAAGAGACAAACAAACATAAAATTCACTTGTAATATTTTGCCCTCACTATTTGGGGGAAAAGAAAGATGCAAACTCAGAATTATGTTTGTTTTATGGAGATGCAAAGAACTTCCTTGAAGCTTCTTTTTAAATTAACATGAGAACCTCTGAAATGTAAAAGTGTTTGCATTAATGGTTCAACTTACATACAGCAGCTTTTCTATAGCTCAGACTATTTACTTAGTCTGCCAATCCTGCACTTCAATAGAGGGAATGCAACCCAAGTAAATAACTGTCTCAGTTTGGAGTAGCCCACATAAATAATTTCCTTTGACACCAATTAACTAATGCTGTTTGTTCTATGGCTTTGGTTATGGCTAAAAAGGAAGTCCCACTGAAAAGAAATTATAGGATAAGATGGACCCTGTGGTTCCTTTCATTTCTTTCTTTCACAGTTCAGACATATGGACAAAACCAGTGGCATCTGCACCAGAGCATTTTGTGCCTGTTCTGTTAACTA